CGAGCCCCAGTTATGGGCCAGACCCTGGGAACCCAGGCTCCGGCAGGAGGAGACGGGGCTGTGAGGCGGAAAAGCGGCGAAAAGCAGGGCCCCAGGAGTCCCGCGCAATGCGCGCAGAGGACTGAATGTTGACTCTGATGCTGGGTTACCCTAGCCGGAAGAAACAAGGCCTCCGGCAGCGCTGGGCCTCAGTCCGGACTGCTCCGAACCCCAGTTCTGGGCTAATCCCTGGGGACCCAGGCTCAGGCAGAGGGAGACGGGGCAGTGAGGTGGAGTCTGGGGAGAGCGGCGAAAGGCCGGGCCCCCGGACTCGCGCAAACTGCGCGCAGAGGACAGTCTGTTGACTCTGATGCTGGACTTCCCTAGCGGGAAGGAGAAAAAAAAGCTCTAGGCTGGGGGGACTCGGAGGGGAGCGGAAGCCCCAGCCAACCGGGCACCAGCAAGGAGGCGGGCCACGGGGCCCCTGGGGGTGTGGGTGCCCCTGAGCCTTTGACCACTGAGCTCAGGCAATGGAGCCAAGGCCTGGGGCTGCTTCCTGGGCGGTGCCGTCCCGGCAACAGGCTGAAGCAGCGCAGGAGCCCGCGGAGAACAAAGGGGTGCCACAGGCCAACCTGCTGAGCTCCCAGGACAAGGAGGAAGAAACCAAAGAAGTTCTCAATGTGAAGAAATCAAGTGAGAGCAAAAAATAGTAAAATTACTTAAGAAAGAATACAAAGAAGATCTTGAAAAATCAAAGACTAAGTCAGAACTCAACTCACCAGCCAACATTGCAACATAAATGCGTTTTAAAAAGAAAAAAGAAAAAAAAAAAGGGCAGAATGTTGGAACAGCGGCAGCCAGGCCTAGAGTGGCCAGGCACAAGGCAGTGGCAGCCAGGCCCGGAGCAGCAACGGCCAGGCCCCAGAGCAACAGCAGCCAGAACCAGAGCATCAACAGCCAGCACTGGAGTAGCCAGACCTGGGGCAGTGGCAGCCAGGCCTGAGGCGGAGGCAGCCAAGCCCAGGGTGGCCAGTCCAGGAACACCCAGACCCGGAGTGGCCGGGCCCGGAGAAGCCAGGCCCAGAGCAGCCGGGGTGGGAGCAGCCAGACCCAGAACAGCAGTAGCCAAGCCCTGAGCATCCAGGTCGGGAGTGGCCAGGCTCGGAGCAGCCAGGTCGGGTGTGGCCAGGCCCGGAGCAGCGGCTGCCAGGCTGGGAGCGGCCAGGCCCGGGGGAGCAGGCGGGTCGGGTGCGGCCAGGCCCGGAGCAGCGGCTGCCAGGCTGGGAGCGGCCAGGCCCGGGGGAGCAGGCGGGTCGGGTGCGGCCAGGCCCGGAGCAGCGGCTGCCAGGCTGGGAGCAGCCAGGCCTGGAGCAGCAGCAGCCAAGTCTAGAGCAACTAGGTCGGGAGCGGCAGTGACCAGACCCGGAGCAGCTGGTTGTGGAATGAACCAGAGCAACAGAGGCCAGGCCCTGAGCAGCCAGGCCCAGAACAGCTCGCTCCTTGCCTGCCCCTGCCCCATGGCTGCTTCTCAGACACGGCTGGAAACTTTCTCAGGAACTTGAGGGTCTGCTGAATCAAGTGATGAAGGCTTAGATCTGGATGTGTCGAGTTAGTTTAGGGCTGGGGTGTTGATCTGTGAGTGCCTTGGGTGGGGCCTGGATGAGGCTGGTGGACCTAGTGGGAAATGTCTTTTGTGTGAAGTGTATCATTGGGCATGTGGAGGTATTATTGATTTGAGAAAATGCTAAGTAACTGATTTACTATCTGAAAAGGGATTTACTATTGGGGAAAGGGAGGGAAGAAGAGACTGAACATAAACTGCACCTATGGATGAGGACAATGGGGGATGGGGAGGGGGCGGAGGGTGGGGTGGGAACCTGGTGGAGGGGGGAAGAAATGAGGAACCTTTGTAATAATATGAACAATAAAGATTGATTAAAAAAATAAATAAATAAAAATAAAAAAAAATAATAAGAAATAAAAAATAAAAATATGGTCATGACGCCGAAACCGGTTTGGCTCAGTGGATAGAGCGTTGGTCTGCGGACTGGGGGATCCCGGGTTCGATTCCGGTCAAGGGCATGTGCATTGGTTGCGGGCACATCTCCAGTGGGGGGTGTGCAAGTGGCAGCTGATTGATGATTCTCCCTCATTGATGTTTCTAACTCTCTGTCCCTCTCCCTTACTTTCTGTAAAAAATCAATAAAATATATTTTTTAAAAATATATGGTCATGTTGTAACTGCAGTTTGGTATCCTGCTGCTCTTGACATTTCATCGCAAGCATTTTCTCCTGACCCTAAAGACGCTGAGCATTTGCTTCCTTCCCGCTTCTTTTCTCAGCTTTGAAGGTATAATTCACACTCAGCAAAGGGCACTCCACTGCATGTACAGTGCTACAAGTTTTAATGCAGACAGCTGTGTAACCACTACCACAGTCAAGACACACAACTGCCCCATCATCCCCCTAACGCAGAGGAACAGACGGAAGTTAACAGCAGTCACCCTTGAAAATGGGCACGCTTCTGTCAGCTCATTGGTTAGGGATTGAGCCAACCTAGGTAGCAGTCGGGCCTGGTTTTGCCATTGCTCTTCATCTCCAGGGCACCTTAGTGTTAAAGCTGCGTTAGTGGTGGGCTGGGGTAACCTTGTGCTTAGCGTGAGGGCTGGGGTACCAGTTGTCTACCGCCGTGCCTGTCCTTCCTTCGTGGTAGCCTGCTGCTGCTGCTTAGCGCCAGGTTAGTGGACATGTATGTGGAGGTTCTCTGTTGAGCTGGGTTAGCTTCAGCTAAGGCCTCCTGATGACATTCCCGCCCTCCTCCTGGTGACAGCAAACCTCTGGGTGGTGCCTGTGATTATCGTGATTGGGACTTTCCTCTCTCCTCCAGTGGCAGCAAACCTGTTTGGTATGAATTAGAATCTGAGCCCGTGTTCCTGACCTTCCCGCCCAACAAAACCCCGCCCTCCCCCCTCCCGGCAACAGAGGGATTTCCTTCTATCCTTCCCCTGCAGCCATGACATTCTGTTTACCCTTTTAAAGCTAGAGGATTTCCTATCCGCTTGTGGACTTGGTATTACTGGAGTTCGTTTCTCTTCCTTTCCTGGCAGAAATGGATCTTTGCCGTACCCTGAGGGAGAGTTTGCTTTGCAGGAGAGAAAGCAAGTGGGTGGGGGTTTGTGCCTTCCCCCGACGGCTGCATGCCTGCCCCACAGGGTTTTTTTTTTCCACTTTCTGTCTCCATTTGTCTGGTGAAGAAAGAATTCTGGTGGAGGTTTATGGGAAAAAGCTTGTGAGTGAATGCAGGTCCTTTTGTATCTGAGGCCCCCGACGACTCCAAACTGACACGCTAGCTCACATGTGGCCTTTTAAGAATTCCTTAAAATTTTAGGTGATTTCCTTGCGCCCACTTGAATGGCAGCCACTTCTTTCTCCGAGCTCTGCCGAAGGTGAGTGTTTTCTTACGCTCCATCCTTTTGGAGAGTCTTGTCTTTCTTGGAATTGTTTGCTTGGTTGCTTTGCAACCTCAGCTCTCTGAGGGGCTCAGGAGAAGGTGTGATTTTGTACATTGTCCAGCCTTTTCTCCTTACAATGTTGGCATGATTGACGACCTCTGTATTTATACATTCTAAGCCCACACCAAAAGTCTTCACTGAATGCATACTACATGCCTGCCATCGTTCTAGAAGCTGGAGTTAGGGGTGTGGACCAAACAGAGCTGAGCTCATGAAATCTATATTCAGCGGAAGGGAGGCAGATTTATTTACATATTATAGTGTCGGGGGGAATAAGTTCTCCGAGGAACATGTAAGCAGATGAGCTAAAGGACAATAATAGCATCTGCCCCTTCGCTTCTGCCTGCCTACACCGCTACCCTTCCCTGTACTATCTTCCTTCTCAGGGCCCTGTGGCAGAGCCGAGTGAACACACCGCGCCCTAGTCTGACACATAACTTGGATGACTGTGTCTAGGAATATGCCAGGTGTTCTGTTTAAAGCCAAACTAGTATGGACAGACACAGAACACAGGGGTACCTATATGGACTCAATCTAAAGAACGTTCCAATAGTCACAGCTGCCTGCAAAATACAGGCGACCCTGTTCCAGAGGGGATGGCGCCCCTTCCTGGGGAAGGGCCCACCCTGCTCCTGGCCAGTCCCCAGCGGCCCAGGGTGTCCAACAGGCAGGGAGGGCGCGATCCTGGCCCAGAGAAGCCCGCGGCCAGGCTCTCCCGGAGCCGCTCTCCCGCGGCTCAGCTCTGGCCCCGGGGCAGAGCCCAGGCCTCGGGGCCAGGGAGGCGGCACTGCATTTGACTCCCACCCGCGGCGACATTCCCGGGTGTGAAAGAGGCGACTTCGTCCACGTCCAGGCCGTTCTCGCCGGTCTTGTCGGCCGGAGGGCGGGCGCGGCCCGGGAGAGGCCGGGGAGGGACCATGCCTGCTCTCCATTCTGCCCCCTCAGAACTGTTCTCTCCCTGACCCAGTCCTAAACCGACACCTTAGAAAATCCATGTCCGTGTGGAGCGTCCCCCGCACGGCATTAAAGTGAGGGTCTGACAGAAACCGGGCGTCGGCAATGGCGGGTCGGCCCTTTCCCCTCACGTTTCCCCCTTTGCCGCTGGGAGTGCCTGGCGCTGCCGCACTCACGGGGCGAGGTGAGAAGGCCTTGGCCAAGAAAGCAGCAGTCCGCCCGCCGGAAAGGTGGGGTCCGAAGGCCGTGCGCCTGGGCGCGAACCCCACCCTCACCCAGGCCAGGCTCACCCCGCTGCCCGGCGCTGCCGACGGACGACGCCGCCCTGGAAAAGGCGCGCGCGCCTCCTGCGCATGCGCGCGTAGCGTCAGGGGCGGGGCCTGGGTGGGCGGGGCCCTAGAGGGCAGCGGCGCGTGCGCCCGGTGGTGGGCGGGGCCTGGCGGTCACGCGCAGCCCCGCCCCCCGGGCCGTAGTCAGGCTCCCGGAGGCGGCAACCGCTCCAGATCAGCCCTTCCCGCTCGGCCGGGGCAGCTGCGCCTCGGTTCTCCGGCGACCATGGGGGACCCCAGCAAGCAGGACATCCTGACCGTCCTCAAGCGCCTCCGCTCGGTGCCCACCAACAAGGTAACGGCCGCCGGCGCGGCCGGCTCGCTCGGCATCCCGGCCCGGCCCCTGCGACGCCCGTGTCCGCGGCCGCGGGAGGAGGAGCCGGCCCGGCCTGTGACACGTCGCACTTGCGGCCGTGGCAGCTGGGCCTCTGCTGGGTCCCCGGCCCGCGCGCCGCCCCCAGCCCGGGCAGGGGAGCAGCGGGGAGGGGCACGGAGGCCGCGGGCGGGCGGGCAGCGGGTTCCGGCGGCGGGGCTGGGGAGGGTGCGGTCCTAGGGGCCGGGCAGACGCATGGGTTCCTGACACCGGGCGGAGGAGCCTACCCGGGGCTGCCGAGTGGACACTGAGTTCCCGAGGGCCGGGACAAGCCTGGGGTCCCGGGAGAGGGCTGGGAGGGCACCCGGGGTCCTGGAGTGGGGCGGGCACCGCAGGCCACCTGTGACCGCGCTGGGCACCCGGTCGGAACTCCAGCTGGTGGCCCCGGGCGTTTGGGGAAGCTCGGCTCGCCCCCTCCTCTCCCTCCAACGGACTTCCAAGTTCCTCGGGGCTGCTCCCTGGGGCCAGGCCGGCGGCTGCCGCGCTCCTGTCCGATGCTTCCCGCCCTGTCTTCTTTCTAAGAAAGCCCGGCACAGCCCTCCCTGCCTCCTGCCCTTCCTCCCTCCGCGGCTCCGGAGGCCGGGGTTTTCCTTTCCTCCCGCCGCCGGCGGCGCCCCCTCCCGGCCCCCGCGCCCTTTGCAGCTTTGGAAGCGGCTGGAGGTGCGATGACGCACGGGGCTGAGGTGACTCCCTCTCCTGAGGACCAGGGGCCGGACCAGGGGCTGGATCACGGGTCGGAGTGGAACCTGGAGAGTGCAAAGGGCTGTCCCGTCAGCGTGGACTCTCGCCTCCTCCTGTGACAGTCCTGCCTGGCCCCACGGTCCCCTCCAGCCTAAGCAGCTGTCAGGCGCCCGGGCAGGCGCCCAGGCACGAGGGCCTAGGAAGTCCCCCAGTTCCACACCACGGATCTTTGCTTCCCATCTCCATGGCGGAGGGGAGCCCATGATTCCGCCTTCCCAGGAGCGGGAAAGGACACCGGGTATTGGAAGCCGTGTCTGGGGCAGGGCGGTCGGGAGGAGGAAGCCACCGGGAACCGCCGGTGCCAGTGTCTTGGCTGTTTTCCTTGCTTTTCCAGTTCAGAGTCACCTGAGAATACAGTGGCTCCTGTGGATCCGGACCGCCGCCGGGTCTGCAGGCAGCTATCTTTGGTCCGCGGCGCCCCAGAAACGTGATGTGTGTTCTCTTCGGTGGAAGCCGTCAGAGGGGAGGCCCCCTTTAAAAATCAGACTTCCTACCGAGGCGCACTTGGAGGGGCGCAGCTGGCACTCCTGGGCGCTGTGGGCAGACCTGCTGCTTTCCAGCTGTCGCCCCGGGCAGGCTACTGGAACGCTTACCTGTGCTCTGTCTTCCTCCTCTGAACACGGGACGGGACCTAGCGGGGTTGTTGTGAGGACTGAGACCATCCCAGAAAGACAGTGGGAGCAGTGCCTGCATGTGCTGTCTTCACCCCGTGCCAGCTGTGTGATTGTTTTTGTATGAACAACACGTGCGGGGCACCGTCCAGTCCATAACGGGACTGCTCAGAGCGCCGAGCAAAAACACCTGCTGGTCACCTTCCCCAGCGTAAGACGTTTTATCTGATCGTCAGTGAGAAACAGTGACCTAAACAAAGATGAAAGCTGGTTTTCCTGATGCAGATGAGTTGGGTGACAATAAGCATTTTCAAAGCGGGTTCTGAAAAGCAGCTCTGAGATACACGAGACCGAAAAACAGCTCGATTTGCTCTCGGAATTCGGTGTCCCGTTTCTCCCTCGTGTGCGGACCAGGGTTTTAGCTCCAGGGTCAGCCTCCTGGTCTGTGGCTCCTCCCTGGAAGCTGTATGTTCCTGGGCTGGCATTGATGGCTTGAGTGACTCACTCAGCAAACAGCCATTGAGCACAGCTGGGCACAGAGGTGCACTGGTGGCCCTCACCCAGCGGCTCCGGCCTCCGGGGGAGAGGGGAGAGTCCGTGCAGACCGCCGGGCCCAGTCCCCGAGGTGCCAATCTTAGCTGTGATACTTCATCATTCCTTCGTTTTCCCTAAAATGGGGGTCAAAACGTGCTCCATAGTTTTGGGGGGTGCAGAATGAGAACGGGGGCCTCGTTTGAAAGTTAAGACTTTTGAGAGGAAACAGCAGAAGGTTAACCACCACAGCCGCTGCCTGCGGGCCTGTGGGATGCACCGGTGGCACCGCCCGCAGGGCCCGGGGGTCACAGTGCGCCTTCCCACGGCGTTGCTGGGAAGTTCAGCTGGCCACCGGCAGTGCCTGGCAGGAGCAAACACTCAACATTAGTTATTATTTCTATGGCAACTGTTCTCATCAGGAGGCAAAACAAATGGCTAGTCAAAACTTTCTGGTCCTCACCACAGAGCTGTTCAGATAAGCATGTTATCTTCTGCTTAGATAAGCATGTCTCAGCTCTGCGTGGGGACTGGTATCAGAGCCCAGCCCAGCCCTGTGCTCAAAGCCAGGAATCAGGCGCATCGTGAGAACCAGACTGCATTTCCACCTGCCTCCCACCTGCCAGGCCTCAGGCCCCAGCCCCAGCCCCAGCTCCTTGCCTTCCACCCCAACCCATCCCACTCCCTGCATTTGCGTTTAATGCCACTTTGTGCTAGGCCGGTACTCGGCTCAGCTGACCAAGACAGCCTGGGCGCCCCCTCGTGGAGCTGCATTCTAGCAATTCCTCCTCTCAGGTGGGGGGGGAGGGAGAGAGGAGGGGGGCCAGGGCAGGAGGATACTGAAGTCACCTAGTTAGAAACCCGTTCTCCTCCGGAGCCTGCCTCGAGATGCTCTCGGACTGGCCTGCGCTGGGCTCTGCACACCTCATCTCTGACGTCACTTCTGCTCACAGGCCATGTCCTGCACATGCTGTGGCCACTGACTGCCCTTCTAGACTCTTCTTGAGATCTCAGTGCCTCTTGGTCCCGTCCAGGAAATGTTTGCATCCTGTCCTTGCTTGCTAAGATTCAGCCTGGTCACTAACCGGCCTGCCCACTGGACTGCCAGTCTGTGGGCTCCGGATGCACCCACTCTGTGCGCCAGGCACATGCACAGTGTCCGCTGAGTGAGTGAGGGGTACCATGGCCTCTCGTAGAGGGACAGCGCCTTTGGCACCAGTCCCACGGAAGGGGAGGCCGTGCCCTAAGAGCTTGTACCACGGGGTGTCTGAAGTTCCATCCCCTTTTCCCCCAGAGGCCAGCACGCACCTGGCAGTGGAGAGCAGCTCAGCACGTGTTTGTGGAATCAGTGATGCCACCTACCGTGTTTCCCCGAAAATAAGACCTACTTGGCTTGTGGGCATGGCTTGTGGGTGTAGCAGAGTGGTGGTTAATTTGCATATTACTCCATTATTAGGTAGGATTAACTTTGGGTAGTGAGAGAGCGAGAGATGGACTTGTTGTTCCACGTGGTTGTGCGGTCATTGGCTGATTCTCGTATGTGCCCACTGGCGGTTGACCCCACAACCTCGGCATATTGGGTTCTAACCACCTTAGCTACCTGGCCAGAGTGAAATTTCAGCTTTTAAATATCTAGGTGAGGTAGTTTCTGTTACCCAGCTTAAACTGTAAAAGTTAAGCAGCTTTCAAGCTAAATCATGTATTGTGTCCTGTGGAAGGGCTCCCTGGGCCACTATAAAGGAATTAAAGTCGACTTTTCACCTTCCCTTTCAGGTGTGTTTTGATTGTGGCGCCAAAAACCCCAGCTGGGCGAGCATCACCTACGGGGTGTTCCTCTGCATCGACTGCTCAGGGTCGCACCGGTCGCTGGGCGTTCACCTGAGCTTCATTCGGTGAGTGACTGTCCCGGGGGTGGGGGTTCATGTCACATGAGGCGCTTTCCCTTCTTCCTTGCTGTTTCCTTTGACGCCAGTGGAATGGGAGGTGGCTATGATTGTGGAGATTTAAGTGCCGTATTGAGTAAACTGGGCCAGTGAGAGAGTTTCTGCACATAGGGCTCTGTGTCGGAGGCATGCCGTGGCATGGCCTGTCGGGATGGAGGGCTTGAGACGGTATTTCCTTTCCCTCATGATCTTCCGGTGACGGCAGTTAGAGACCGTTCTCCCGGAGCCCGGCTTCGGCCGCCTCGGGATGCTCTCAGACTGGCCTGCGCTGGGCCATGCACACCTGGTCTCTGCCGCCACCTCCGTCCACAGGCCATTTCTGCACATGCTGTGGCCACTGACTGCCCTTCTAGACTCTTCTTGAGATCTCAGTGCCTCTTGGTCTCGTCCAGGAAACGTTTGCATCCTGTCCTTGCTTCTGACTGGCCTGCCCACTGGGCTGCCAGTCTGTGGGCTCCGGACACGCCCACTCTGTGTGCGCCAGGCACATGCACAGTGTCCGCTGAGTGAGTGAGGGGTGCCGTGGCCTCTCGTAGAGGGCCCGCTGAGCACTCCCTGTAGAAGGGGTTCAGGTGCAGTGGGTCCCCCCTGCACCCCGTCAGGGAGAGCTAACGTCAGGGTTCCAGCAGTCGTACAGCTGTGGCTCCAGGGCACTGACTCCGCATAGCCTGAGTGATGGTTCTGTTTGAGTTTGTGGCAGCTTCCAATGCTACACTATGAACATCTTCTCTTGTCATCTTAAGTCATGGGCTGCGTTGGCTCCTCTGACAAGTTCCTATCTTCCACTCACACCATATGGAAGGGGCCTTTGTGTGCGAGAGAGAACGGCGCCCCCTCTGGACACACACAGCCCCACAGTCCAGTGGGAGGTGGCACGGCCCTGTGTGAGGTAGAAGAAACAGAAGAATATAAGAAATAATAAAATAGCCCTGGCCGGTTTGGCTCATGAACAGAACATCGGCCTGCAGACTAAAGGGTCCCAGGTTCGATCCCGGTCAAGGACACGCCTGGTTTCCGGCTTGATCCCCAGTAGGGATATGCAGGAGGCAGCCAATCAATGATTCTCTCTCATCGATGTTTCTGTCTCTCTCTCTCCCTTCCTCTCTGAAATCAATAAACACGTATATTTTTAAAAGAAAGAACAGTGGGCTCGGGGCTTGTAGTCGAGGAGGCCTGAGCTTCAGCAGCCCAGGCTTGGCCAGGCCCCCTCTGCTGCCCTGGGCATCGCTGTGGTCACTGCCACCTCCCACCGCGCACCTGCTTCCCTGCCCGTCTTTCCCCGGGAAGCAGCCAGAGGCAGGCAGGCTGTTTGTAACTGTGACAAGCGATTTTATCTCACGTCGACTTAAGGACTATTGATACAATGCAATGACTATAAAAAGCATTTGTTCCTAAAGGATAAAGTCTTATAATTCAGAACGAGATTTCTGTATGATAGCACAGAAATAGTAATAATAGCAATATAATTTTCTTTTTTTTAAAACTTTGCTGATGCACTTTCCCGAGTTCTCTTTTTAGAAAGCGATTTGCAAAGACCTGCCGTGCTAAATACGTATATAACACATAGGTGATCGTCTTGGAAAGGGAGTTCTGTGTGTTCTCATTGGTTATGGAGTACCTATCAGTCTCCGGTCTTCTTTTTCCTTAGCTGTTGTCAGAATAGTTTGAATTCACATCCTGTCCTTGTCTCTCTAAACATTGAGGGATTTAGTTGCGAGGGAGTTTGTTTGTTTGTTTGATGGGTTTGTTGTTCCTGTCTTTTGAATTTGTTTTTATTGTTGAAAGTATTACAGATATCCCCTTTTTTCCCATTGGCCCCCTCCACCCAGCACCCGCCCTCCCAGGCCGTCACCACACTGCTGTCTGTGTCCATGGGCTCTGCGTTCATGCATGTTAATTCCCCGAGTCCTCTCTCCCCTCCACCCCCACCATTTTGTCTTTAATGTGCTTCCCTCACACAGATCAGCTGTGACCCGGTAACCTGGGACCGCTCTGCCCAGAGCCCAGGAGGGCTGGATCGCGGCAGCACGCAGCTGCTTGTCTGTCTGCTCCCTCTGCTGTGCTCTTTCCTCTTCACCTCCACATCCGCCCTTCTCCGGCCCTCCCTTTCCTCCCCTGAAGGAAGTTTAAACCATTCCCGGAAATGAGGTGGTTTTCTGGCGCCCAGGTTGAGGGAGGACAGCCCGGAGCCTGGCATGCTGGACAGCAGTCTCGGCTCTCGCAGGTTGAGTCACTAGCCTTCTAGCAGTCAGATAAATATAACTATTTACAGACAAATATAACTGTATGAATCACAGTGTCATAAATTATTCAAAACAACTGCTACCACTCCTGTTCCAGGGCAAAGTCAAGGATGACAAGGGCACTTGGTGGCCTTTGTTTTTAAAGAGGTGGGAGGCTGTTCTTTGAACATTTGTACACTGGTTTAAGCAATCACAGACCCCAGCGTACTGGGGGAATGTTGTATCCACTCATGAGGATGTGGAGGGGGGGGGCCGCTTTCTCCTGTCCAGCGGCTGGTCAGCAGGAGCTTTTGTTAAAGGGACACACATTTCAGCTCTTCTTCCCTGCGCGGCTCACTCTCTTCTCCTCGCTCAGGTCCTTACCTTCACCACGTCTTCATCTAATTAAAGACAGGAAGTGACCTTAGTGAGTCCCCTTCTCGTGGGACGGCACCGCTGAGCAAATCAGGTTTCTTCTTACGGCTGACTTATTCATGGTCCTCACCACCTTTTGTTTCAAATTCCAGTGAGAGAGAGAATCTCTGTCAGCTTGACTAAAGAACAGTGTTTGTTATCTTTGTTTCTAAGAAATATATAAAAAATGTCTGGCTTCGTTTTTTAAAAGATACTTCGGGACTAAAAGGTTTAGGCAGGTGAGTAAGTCTGAGGCTTGTAGCTTCAGTTTTCAGACTTAGTGTAAGTCAGGCACCTGCTTTGTGCCTGCCCTCCCGGGCTTGTGTTTATCCCACGGTGTGACAGGGTCACCATGACGATGGTGATGGTGATGATGAGGACGTTAGCCATATGGTGTTTACTTTCTGCAGGAGTGACATAGATGGCCTCTGGTTCTTACCAACGAGGAGAGTGAGGCGCGGAGGTTAAGCCCTTTCCCCAAGGTCATGCAGCTCGTCATGGCAGAGCGGAGGTCCCCTCAGCCTGTCCAGAGGCTGCAGTTACAGCCACCGGTGACAGGTGGGAGGGTGGCACCTCATACAGTCTGGGCAGCTCATCATGGTGTGTGACTGAGCGGGATCGCTCAGAAAAAGAATTTCAGAGCAACACGTGTCGTTTCATCACCTCACTCGGTAATTAAATTCAAAAGGAGATTTCCTTTTGTCTTTGGGAAATTGTTAATATGGGTTAGTATTTGCTTTTTATATCATCGTGAAGTAGATATACGTAGATGTAATAATGACATGTATTAGTATCATTATTAACCTTAAGGAAGCTATTGGCTGCAAAATAATATCTTTTTAAATATACTTTATTGATTTTTTACAGAGAGGAAGAGAGAGGGATAGAGAGTTAGAAACATCGATGAGAATCGATGAGCTGCCTCCTGCACACCCCCTACCAGGGATGTGCCCGCAACCAAGGTACATGCCCTTGACCGGAATCGAACCTGGGGCCTTTCAGTCCGTAGACTGATGCTCTATCCATTGAGCCAAACCGGTTTCGGGCTGCAAAATAATATCTTAACATTCACAAAGGTTAATGCCCTTTTGTGAAGGAGAGGCCACCTGCACTGTTCTCACATGTCCAGTCCTTCCGGCGGGGCAGGAGGGCTGCTGTGGATCCAGAGAGCCTGCTTTTGGTCCCAGCATTGTTGAGCTGTCCTGTCTCGCTTCACGCTGAGCACTGGTGGAATCTTATTGTTGGGAAATACTGCCTTTACCTGGCTCCGTGATGATCTCAGGGTTCAGGGAAACAGGCACAGGTGTGGCGGGAGGAGGCACTCGCAGCTGTCACTGCAGGAGCATTCCATCCTGAGTGTTCTCCTGCTCTTGTGGTGATGGCGGTAGGTTCTTCACATTTGATGGTGAAATGATGAGCATCCTCCAGGGGTCCTACTAGGTGTCAAACTGGACCCCCAAAAAAGTCCAAACAGGCCATCTGTGCTGAGCAGAGACACATGGCCACCTTTAGGTCAGGACCCACCACGGATGTGAGGCAGAGGCCGAGTTCCACAGCCCACAGACCGTCATCTCTGCTCCTAGAGGGCGTGGCTGGCTGGAGCGTGGGCAGCGCAAGTGCGGCTGGCCTGGCATGGCCTGGCGTGCGTGGCCTATCTGTGGTTGGCGTGGAGGGGAGCAGGTGGTTGGAGCCATCAGCGCCTTGGCTTCCACGAAGGATGAGAGGGGCCGGAGCTGCTGTGCCAATGGTCCTGCACTTCGGAGTCCCAGCGTCCTAGAAGTCACTGTTAACACACTCAGATTCTTCAGGGTTCTGACAGCAAGGGAAGCTTGTGCTCAAAGTTTAGTGGCTTGATTTTGGGGAAGAAAAGTATTAACATTTAGGATGTTCTTTCCATTTAGATCTACAGAGCTGGATTCTAACTGGTCTTGGTTCCAGTTGCGCTGCATGCAAGTCGGAGGAAACGCTAACGCAGTGAGTTCATCTTGGATTGTTGTTCTGTGTGAACATGGGCTCTGCTGTGGGGGCCCCCTGGGTAACAGGAAGTCAGGAGGCGCTTTGGAGTTGGACTGCTGTTTATCCAGAGCACCTGATCCACGCGAAGCTTTGGGCTGGGGGCTGGGACAGTGAACAAGACACATGAGAGCCCCTCAGAGAGGCACAGAGTCAGTAAGAAGCAAATAAACAAGAACCTAGCAGGCAGCGAGAGTTCTTTGGAAGAAAATTAAAACCAGAAGAGGTGGTAGAGAGGGTTGGGAGGCTTCTTTATGATAATATAGTTTTTTAATACGTGCGGTGACTTTTGTGCTTAGGATGGATTGAATGATTACAGCTGCTTACATCTGAATTTTGTTTAATTTGTGAAATCTATAAAGTTTTAATAAAACCTATTCTCCAAGTTTTCAAGTACAGTATATAAAGATATATATTCACTTATAAACTTAATAATTTCTATACAAAATTAATAACCAATTAAGTGGTCACTTAATTTAAAACAGCAGATTTTTGTAGGGGGACTCTGAAGCCCAGCGTCACCCACTTTCCAGCCTACTTTCCAGCCTAACTAAGGATCCTCAAACATTCTAAATTTCATTTACAAATTGAATATATCTGACTCCTCAAACTCTAAATTGGCAGCCTGGTCTCGCTGGTTTTGTTCAGCAGATAGAGCGTTGGCCTGGGGACTGAAAGGTCCCAGGTTTGATTCCAGTCAAGGGCATATGCCTGGGTTGTGGGTGCGATCCCCAGTGGGGGGGTGGGGGGAAGGTGGGAGGCAGCCAAATAGTGATTCTCTCTCATCGTTGATATTTCTGTCTCTCCCTTCCTTTCTGAAATCAGTAAAAATATATTAAAATAAACAAATAAATAAAATAAACTGGCAGTCTTATAAGTCTAGCCAGCAAAATCACCCAAAGCACTGGTACCTTATTATGCCAAATGGTAAGTAGAAGTCCCATAGACGCCATTACACATTCAAAGTATAAAAAGTCAAATTTGTATACATTTCAAATAAAAGTTGTATCTGGTATCAATTTGATATTTAAAATTATAAATCTAAATAGTAGTTTTTAAAATATCAGATTCCCTGGATTAGTGTTTCTCAACCTTTTTTCATTATTGTTCCTTAAGTAGAATAATTAAATTTAAATTAGATTATCTTAACTTTAAATTGGATTAATATTTCCCCGGTGAGAGAAATGAAATACTAAGGAATATGATTCTGTCACCTAGGGATGAACATTGGAGGGCCACAAACCATTGTAATAACTGATTTTTTTCGCTTTCTAAGAAACAGTTTTGCCCTGTTAAGAACGCATGCCTTTTATCTCAAGCATCCTATGAGAAACCCGTGCCCATTATCATGATTTTCACACACTTGTTCCAAAACTTAATACTGAGCGTTTGGTTTTATCTGTCCTTATTGCTAAGCCCTCCCAGGGTGGCAGAGTGCCCCGCCCACCTCCCGAGAGCAGCTTTCTGTCTCCAGCCAGAGGTGGCCCAGGTGGGGGCGGGGGGGGGGGGGGAGGGGGGAGGTCAGGCCATTCCACTGAAGCAGTGAAGTTGGAACCGCCCTGCTCAGGCTAAATGCCAGCCCGGCCTTCCACTCACCTGGGTGACGCTGGGCTTCAGAGTCCCCTGCAAAGCGGAGCCGGTAACATGGCCTCCCAGAGTGATGCTATGAGGATTTCATGGAATGGGGCCCCGGTAACCCAGAACGGGCTCCGGTACATGTGGGTGCCTTAGACCATTATTAGTCAGATTGGGTTAATGAAAGCATTGCTCGTACAGGTTTTTGGAATGTCTGCTTTAGTTAGATATGAATCCTGTAATTCATGTCTACACACGGACCCTTATACGGTGGTTGGAAAGTTCCCTCTGTTTAATTTTGTCACCTTGCTTGTGCTCTTTTGTTAATGGGTAAATAGTGCTGGACAAGGTGAAGGTTAGCGGTGCTCCTAACCGATTTTGTAAAATTTCTGATTTAGTGGAATCCAACCTGAAATGGATTTCTCATGAATTAAAAGTAGTCCAGAGTGGAAAGCATCCCCCGAATAAGATTCAGAGTGATGGAGGTGTTTAATGGCGAAACAAAGGGCCAGTAATTTCATTTTGTAATTCATCTCATGTCCAGTTTTACCAAAATAGCAGTGTCACATCTGTGGAGGGTATTCCCTTTTTATAAGATAAGATTATTAACAGTTTTTCGTTGTTTACAGAGTTTTGGTTTTCACTGTATTTTCAAAAACCCTTCACAATCTGAAGTGCCGTTTCAGTAACCGCTGCTTCCTCCGCAGGCGTCCTTCTTCGACCAGCACGGCTGCACCACCAGCGACACCAAGGCCAAGTACAACAGCCGCGCGGCGCAGCTCTACCGGGACAAGATCAAGTCGCTGGCCGCCCAGGCTGCGCGGAAGCACGGCACTGACGTAAGTGCGGCATGACGTAAGTGCGGCACTGACCTCAGTGCGTCGTGACGTAAGCACGGCACTGACGTAAGTCGGCATGACGTAAGCACGGCACTGGCGTAAGTGCGGCATGACGTAAGCACGACACTGACGTAAGTGCAACCAGCTGTTTCAGAAGGAAAGGAGCTTTTTACCCCAGTGAGGCCCGGGCCCATACGGGGCTTCCTTACGTGTTTCCGTGCGGAGGCGCCTCCTTTGCTCCTGCTGCTGGCGGACATGGATCCGGCCGGCGGCACGGTGCCCCTCCCGGTGGGACTTTCCTCCGGCGCCTCACGCTTGCCCCGGCGCAGGGATCTGAAACCGAAAAGCCACCGACACGGAGCACACCTGTGGGCCCGTGGCGCTGAATGGACCGCGAAAGGACCCCGTTTACAGCGGAGCCGGAAAGGGCAGCGGGCACGGCCGTGCGCGGACAGGAGCGCCAGCTGGTGTGGCCCACGGCGGGTGGTGGCCAGGGTGTGGGTTTGCAGAGGAGCCCACAGGAGGCGCACTGTCCTCCGGGCCTGCTCCTTTTCAGACGGGGTGCCGGCCTCAGGGTCTGGAAACGGGCCACTGGCCTGACACCTGACTGATGCGCTCAGGGGCCCCAAAGGCCTGTTGCTGACGTTATGATAACGGGATGCCAGTGTCGGGCAGACAGGTCTAGAAAGGGAGTGGCGAGTTTGGGGAGCACCTCAGAGCCAGGGGAGGCTCACGCCACCTCGCGTTGTTCCAGCTGTGGCTCGATGGCTGTGTGACGCCGCCTCTGTCCCCTGCGCCCAAGGAGGACGACTTCTTCGCCTCTCATGCCTTTCCTGAGGTGAGTGTCGTGCCGACGTGACTGCCGCGGGCTCACTCTGACGTTTAGAATGTTCCAGGTAGGGTACAGGCCAGGCTGCTGTGACAACTCTGAAATACAGCCGCTTAACCAAGGGGAAATTAGTTTCTCATCAGCAGCTCCCAGGAGCTGTCCAGGGGGCAGAGTCTGTTTTTCTCGTGTGCGGCTCCCCGCAGGGTCCACATGGGAAGAGGACAGACCCAGGAAACAGTGCCCGTCCTCGCACAGGCACAGCTGGAGGTGGCGCCAGTCACTGCCCAGGTCCTGTTGGCTGGCTTAGCTCATGTCTTTTCCCAGCTCCAGTGAAGCGGAGTGTGATCACCAGTCGTCTGCCACAGTTCAGTTCAGAGCTCCAGGACTGACAAAGAATGAAGACAGTTGTTTTCTAAATATATTTAAAACTTCAGAGGAAAGGAGAGGGAGAGAAAGAAACATCAATGACAAGAATCACTGATTAGCTGCCTCCTGCACGCCCCTTACTGGGGATAAAGCCCCAAACCTGGGCAGGTGCCCTTGACCAGAATCGAACCTGGGACCTTTTAGTCCACAGACTCTCTATTCATTGAGCCAAACCAGCCAGGACTCAATATATTCTTTATTTAATTTTCAAATAAAAAAATGTGCAGAGTTTTATAAATTGCTAAGCCTTGATTTTTTGCTATTACAACTTGCCTATACATGTTAATCATTGATGCAATCAATAGTTACCAGAAATAACTATCAAACAAAAGAACAGAAAACAATTTTAAAAAGGATGTGTTCTGTTGTGAGCTTTGCTATTATTTAGTTTAGAACTGGATACAGAATATCCACAGTTAGTAGCTGAGAAATGTTTGGAACGGAAATGATGGGCTAAAAAGGAGAGAAATGACTAGTTTGGTGTGGGTCAGAGTTGGAGACGTTAGTATGAACTCATGTTTATTTTACTGTCTCTTTACACACACACAGACACGATGGAGAACTAATTGTAGATGTGTGCACTGGTGGGATAGCGCTGCCTGGCTCTGTCCGCGGAGAGGGCATACAGCAAGCACACCAGCAGCCGGGTCCTGGTGGCTAAAACCATTCCTCCTCGGAAAGGAGCCAGGCTGCCTGGGGAGAAGTGCAGGCTGGAGGGCTGGCCGCTGGGGCAGGGAGCCTGGAGCCCTGCTGAGAGGAAGGAAGGAGGGGCGGGGGCGGGAACTGGGGGGCAGGGTCTGAAGGACCCGGGAACCACCTGAAAGAGCTCTCAGTGGTCAGAGCTGGAACAATTTGAACAAAATAAACAACGAACGTATTGAATTACAGTCCAAAGAATAAAATCAATAGCCATGTCCTGTTCTCCTCTTTTCTGACAATCATCCTGATATAAATGGATGATTGAATAAATGGGGACAGGGATACTGTTCCTTAGAGAAAAATTCCAAATCATGTATAATAGATACCCCCCTCAGGAGGGAGAGTTTATCCTCCTCCCCTTGAACGTGGGCCAGACTCAGAGACCAGCCTCCCAAGACTAGACGGTGGAAAGGGAAGCACAGAAGTTTACCGAGAAAAGCCTGGCAGGCACCGCCTGACCGGTGCCCAGGGTTGGCATCACCAGGTCAGCCATGTTGACATGAGGCGGTGAGAAGGCACCGCACCTCCACGGCTTTCTTCCCCGAACTCTAATCCAATCATGAGGAAACGTCAGATGGACCCAAACTGAGACACATTCTACACATACATGGTCAGTACCCTCAGAGGTTCAAGGACAGACTGAGAGACTGACAGAGCAGGGAGACGAGGGAGAAGGCATGCAGAGTGGTCCCGGGCAGAAAAGGAGCCCTGGAGGAAGAGCTGGGGAGACCCCGGTCAGTCTGGAGCTTAGGAATGGGCCACGTAACTCCGAGTTTTCACAGATGCACCGTGGATATTTGAACATTAAAGGAAGCTGGGTGGAAAGTAAAAACCTCTACTGTCTTAGCAACTTCTCTGTAAACTGAAATTATTGCATAGTTTAGATTTTATTTTTAAAAAGGAGGAAAGCCTGGCTGGTGTTCTCAGTGGTTGAGCATTTCCCAGTCAGAGCACATGCTCACAGGCTCATTCCCCAGTAGGGGGCGTGCAGGAAGCAGTCAATGATTCTCTCATCATTGATGTTTCTCTCTCTTTCTCTCCTACTCTCCTCTCTGAAATCAATAAATATTTTTTAAAGGAAAAATATGGAATTTGAGCATTGAAACAGAGACTTAATATTATAGATGTTTAAATATTACCCTTTCTCCCCACTAATCCAGGTATGAAGAGATGACTATGTAGATGAGTGGGTTTTCCCCTGCTTTGGTTTGTTTTTTATGACTTTTCTCACTTTGCTCCAGGTGAGCGGCACAGGATGGGCCTCTGCACACCCCGAGCTGCCTCTGACGACCAGGAGCGTGGACGTCCCCCCAGCAAACAGTGAAGGTGGTTTTTAAAATTTTACTCATTGATTTCTAGAGAAAGAAAAACGTTCATCTGTTATTCCACTTATTCATATATTCATTGGCTGGTTCTTTTTAAAAAATATGATTTTTATTTATTTCAGAGAGAGGAAGAGAGAGAGAAATATCAATGTGGGACAAATGTCTAACATTTGGGGGAAAAATAATAAAGCAGAATTGCTTCTTTATTCTAAATTGAAATGGACCAAAGATTTAAAAATAAAAATGAAAATATGAGACCCAGCTGGCGTGGCTCAGCGGTTGAGTGTTGACCTATGAGCCAGGAGGTCATGGTTCGATTACCAGTCAGGGCACAGGCCTGGGTTGCGGGCTTGATCCCCAGTGTGGGGCGTGCAGGAGACAGCCGATCAATGATTCCCTGTCATCACTGATGATTTTACCTCTCTCTCCCTCTCCCTTCCTCTCTGAAATCAGTAAAATATATATATATATATATTTAAAAAATGAAAATATGAGGGTGCTAGAGAAATGGGCGAGGCTTTCCTGCCACCTGGAGTGGGAAGCCCTTCTGGGCACATCCACGCCTCTTGCAAGGAAAGATGAGTGAGTCTGACCACCGGCGATGTAACACTGGGTCTGAAGAAGTGCTTCAAAGACGATAAAAATTTGCAATTCATTTATAGACCCGAAGCTTGGTTCCTTAATATGCAAAGAACTCGGACAGGACTGGTTTTGTATGATCTGCAGCCTGTGATTGTGTGATTGTATGTGTGTGTGTGCGTGCGTGCACATGACTCTAATGCCGGCATGGAAGACATGGCACATCCCCCAGTGGCAGTGAGCTTTTTGGTTTCTTCGCCTTCCACTGCGCTGCAGTTGTGCTGGCCTGTACGCCTTCCCTGTGCAGGTTCTGTTTGGACTCTGACCCTGGTCATCACGCGGCCACCTCCTTATCAGAGCCTCAGCTCCAAGTCCTCTCCTCAGAGAAGCACCTAGCTCCCAGCACTCCAGCCACAGCCTGTCTTCCTCATGCACAGCACGCCTCCGTTCTGGGAACTAACGTGTCCCGTAGCTTCCATGTCCGTGTGTGTTCCTTCCGCTGGCTGTGAACTCCAGGGAGAAATTCTTTTGAAGAGAAGAAATCTCCCTGCGCCAGTGACTGGTTTGTCATTGTCCATAAGAGAGAAGAGAAAAACGAATGCCCACACTCACCTGACTAACAGAGAAAAGGTGGGGGTTGTACCTTCTGAAAGTCAGGAGGTCACGTGAGCATCACTACCCTTACAACCACCAGCACAGAGGCCTCTGTGACTGAGGGTGCCTCAGGGAGTCCCCGTAGCCGCTCAGTCCCATGGCTCAGTCCCTTTCACTGACTGAAAACTGAGGCAGCTAAATGCACAACAAGACTTTAGCCTTTAAATCTGTTTTCACTCCATGGTTCACTGAAGAGCTTCTCCTCAGCCTGCAGCCGCACTCTCCTGCCTCTTCCCCGCCCAGAACTTTCTTACGCAGCTGGTGGTGAGGGACACGTACTGTCTCAAGGCCTACCCCGGAATTGCGCTTGTGGGCACTGGCAGCCAGGTGCAGTCTGGAGTAAATGTAAGGACTGCAGGATAGAAAGGAGAGAACAAAGAATTTTAACAAGAGAACAGCAGGCCTGGAATTCTCTGCTCCTGGGCCTTACTCCCTGCTGCTCTCCCCGCCCAGGGCCGTTCCGCCGGGCAGCGCTTTTTCTACAAAACGGCATTGTTCTACTCCTCCTGCTTTGCCTATGTAAAGGCCTTAACTAGCGTTTACCTGTTAAATATTATAAAAAGAAACGGTTGGGTTTCCTCTGTTGGGCCTGCCACTTTTTAATAACAACTTTGTTGACGTATGATTCACATACCATAAAATTCAGCCTTTGAAGTATGCAGTTCAGTGGTGGTTAGTGTATTCACAAGGTTGTGCATCATCACCACTCATTCCAGAACATTCCCATCACCTCCAGAGAAACCTGTACCCCTGATAGCCCCTCCCCCTTCTCTCCTACTTCCCTCAGCCCCTGCAACCAGCAGTCTGCTTTCCGTCTCTAAGGCTTTGTCTCTTCGGGCCATTTCCTGAAGTAGGCTCAGACAATATGTTGTGCTCAGCACAATATTTTAAAGGAGCGTCCATGTTGTAGTATTTCTATGTGCCAGTATTTAATTTTTTATGGCCAAATAACGTTCCATTGTGTGGATATACTACATTTTGTTTACTCGCTTTTTAAGTAATAAAATAACAAGAAGTTTTTAAGTAAAGGCTTAATAAGAGTTCTAACCAGGATCATTTTTTAGGTCACTTAGAAAACGGCAGATTTCTTGGCAACTGGAAATTTAGGTTCCTATCATTGATATGATTGGTGTTAGAATTTCCAAATATTAACATGTGTTGGGTATATAGTCCATGTATGGACGAGGTGTCTCGAACAGTTTACTCTGAAACGCCAGGTCATAGGCAGAATTCTGAGTGACGTGAATCAGGGAGACCCCTGCCATCTAATTCTATAAAGCAACTTGACAGAAAACATGCTTCTACTTTAATGCACTTTTTAAGTCAAAGTTATTTTTTTAATCTTCACCTGGGTTTTGTTTTGTTTTGTTTTTTTTGCAATGCTTTTCAGAGAGAGTAGAAGCAGGGAAAGAAGGAAGAGAGAGCAAAACATTGATGTGAGAGAGACACAGCAACTGGCTGTCTCCTGCACTCGCCTGACTGGGGGCGGGAAGCAAATCCACAACCAAGGGACGTGCCCTGGACCAGGAATCAAACCCGAGACTCTTTGGTTCGTAGCCCAACGCTCCAACCACTGAGCACACCAGCCAGGGCTTAGTAAAAATTCTTACAATGGAATATGGAGCTAAAAAGAAAGTGAATCATTGACAGAATTGGGTAAGAAATGTAGTACTCAGCAAGTTAAATACATTTCTTATTCAAAAGCAAGTTTGATGAGTATATTTTCTGTTTTAATATCTATATTTTTAACTTGCAGGTGGACCAGAGCAAGGACCAAGTGTGGAAGGTCTTAATGTACCAACCAAGGCAGGTCTAGGTAATGTTCTGATTTAGAGAACATTCTGATTTAGAGAATGAGATTCTTCTGGATGACAGTCTAATGTGGGAAATATTATCATCTCCTAAATAATAATTTACAATACCATAAAGATTTTTTAAAAACACACAATTAAAATAGAAAAAGTGTGTGTTTCTGTTGGTCTGACTTTCTCCTTTGTGTTTTTTTACAGAGGTTTCCTCTATCATAAAAAAGAAGCCAAATCCAGCCAAACGAGGCGTGAGTATGGCGTGGGAAATACCAGTAGTTCAGTTCTGAAACAGCCTCTGCCCTCCAGACAGCCGCTGCCACTGCGTTCTTATTGACTCTGAGCCATTTTATGTATAACAAGTACAGCCTGGGTAAATCTCCATGTTCTGCTCAGTGCGGTGACTGTTGTGCCGAGGGAAGGTTTTCTGGAATAGGTGTTTAACGTGTCTCCTGTCGGTGACGAAATTCTTAAAACACAGCAGCACAGGCTCCCTGAGTGTCTGTCCTGGCTGGTTCTGTAGCATTTCGCGGGCCTCAGCTCCTCCTCTGTAAATGGGGTGTGTGTGTGTGTATGTGTGTGTGTGTGTGCGCCCACTTCTTAGAGTTGTGAGGACCAGGGAGGAGAACAGGGGTCCAGGCTGTCGCGGTGCCTCCCGCAAGTGCTAGCTGTTGGCACAGAACGTGTCAGCAGGTGGGCAGCGTGTGATCTGTGTGTCTTCCAGCTTGGGGCCAAAAAAGGCAGCCTGGGAGCCCAGAAGCTGACGAGCACGTGCTTCGATGAGATGGAGAAGCAAGCCCAGGCTGTGGACAAGATGAAGGAGCAGGAAGACCTGGCCAGGACGGCGCCCAAGGAGGACTCGATGTGAGTTAAGCCAGCCGCGGCGACGTCTCAGCGGACGGAGCTGCTCGCTCGCCCAGTGTACCTCGCTGATGCCATTGCTTTCACTGTGTGAGGAGGGCGCTGCGCAGCTGAGCTCCGTGAAGACGAGGGTGGCAGCAGGGGTAGCGGGAGGGAGGGAGGCCGGGCGGCGAGGGAGAGCAGCAGCACGTCCCAGGGAGTGAGGGCGGGAAGGGAAGACTGCCGGGTGGGGTCATGCAGGGAAGATGCTCAGCACCGTCAGTGACGAGGGAAAGGCACGGAGACCCCCTCACTAGGAGGCTGATCGAGAAGACAGCGCCAAGCCCGGTGGGAATGGGGAGAAATGAGCCCCTCACACGTGGCTGGTGGGCATGTACAAGTTAAACCTGTGGCTATAGTGTGCCCAGCAGTCACTCCTACGAGACGGTAACCACTAGGCCACACAAACCTGTGCGTGAGTGTCCACGGCAGCATTGGTCCCGATGGCCAACGGGAGGAACGGCCGGATGTCCATCCGCTGTGGGACGGATGGGCGTGGTGGGTCCATCACGGGAATATTGTCCAGCCCAGAGAGGCGTGCAGCGCCGACACACGCTACCACAGCCCGGAGGCCTTGAAAAGTTTGCTGGGAAGCCGGTCGCTAGGACCACGCCTGTGGGGTCCCGTTGGTGGGAATGTCCGGGACAGGCAGGCGCGGAGATGGGAGCAGACCGGTGCTCGCAGTTGGAGCCGGGGAGGGGAAGGGCTGGTTGCTCCTCGGTGTGGGGTTGGCTGTGCCAGGATGGAATGTTCTGGAATGAGGTAATGGTAGGTTATGGACTTTAAGGGCTGCATGTATGGCGTGTGAATGACAGCTCCGCAGTGAGGAAGTGTCGTGTGCAGCTCCATTGACATGGAGGCTGAATTCTGAATGTATGATGGCGGCTGCGGGCTGTGTTCCAGAGGGCCTGAGCGATGGGTGTGAGTCACACAGCACAGAGGAGAGGGACGGGAGAGTCTGCGGGAAACCAGGAGGCCAGCCAGGAGACCGGTGTGAGGTGAACACAGGGATGTTTCCTTCATGTTAAAACAGAAGAGAAACACGGGCGTCTGGGAGTGATGTTGTGACTGACAGGAAAGGCAGCTCAGGCCTGTTCTCTGTTGTTTTTATGTGTGTTTTACCAGGCTTAGCTCGAGGGATTGCAGACTGCATGATGCAGACGATCATAATTATTTTATGAGTTATTTTGAGGGTCAACTTAGTTACTGCTCACTGAAGTAATGAGGCCGCGCCTGGGACATAGTAAATGCTCAGTCATCCTGATTTCTTACTGGTCATTCTCACCCTCCGCTAACTATGGTGAACTCAGGAAACTTGAGATTGTCATTTAACTGGTGGAACATAGGGGGCAGCACTGCACTGCACTTAGGTTGAGTGTGGTTTGAAAAGATTCATGTAAAATTGTGGTTGCTCAGCTTCACTGTGATCGCTCCGAGTGCGCTGCTTTCAGACCTGGGGAGGGGGCTGCTCTGGGTGTCTGGGAGGGGGCTCTGTCCGGGGCTCCAGAGCGTGGGCCAGCTCGTGCCCAGGAGGGCGCAGCCGGGGAAGGCAGCACGCTCCTTCCTGCGCCGGGCTCTAACCCGGGTGGTTGTCTCTCATCAGCACCGGCTCAGAGACTGTGGAGGGAGGGTGGGTGGGGTGGGTATGGATTTGGTTTGGCAGCTTCCTTGGCCCGGTCAGGGCAGCCGCCCCACCTGCCTGGCTCACTCCCGCCTCCGCCATCGCGCTCGGCTGGGTCCGGGCCTGGCCGCTGGGTCATCCCAAGGCATGCGCTGCTGTTCTGCAGCTAATGAAGTTACTCATTTGATAAAAGTAAACAGAGCTCGGTCCACCAGCTGCCAGGAGCAGTGCTGTCTCCTGTCCCCCAGACCCCCAGACCGTGACCTGAACTGCCCGTGCCGCAGCCTCGCCCTGGCCCCCCTGAGGTGCCTGTGCACAGGCAGCAGGAAGAGTGAGAGCGGCAGGTGCCCCCGCCCCCCATCTGAGGGTCTGGCAGGCCCCCCTGGAGCTGGCACTGGGGAGGCGCCGGCAGTTCTGAGCAGCGGGCATGGCTCAGTGAGCCCCGTGCAGTGCCCGCTTCAGAGTGACAGCCGCAGAGGAGAACTCGGCTTGCATCCCATCTGCTCACCTCCAGCAGCCTCTGTGCCGGTGACGTCCATGCATGGTTTCAAACAGATCCATGTTCCTTCCAAATGCGCTTGAAAGAGGATGCTTTTCTGAGTAACCCCTCGGGTACGTGGCCACAGCCTGTGCTGTAGGACCAGTGAATAGTCAAGAGCGCAGTCTGCCAGCTGCACCCCAAACAGAAGCTGCCTGACTCGCTGGGGAAGGAAGCAGCGAGCGGAGATTACGTTTCCTTAGGGAGAGGCTCTGACCGCACAGGAGCGTGTGCGCTGTGCGGCGTGGGCACCGCTGGGGAGCTGACGTCTGGCAGCTCTGTAAGCGGCTGAGCATGAGGCCGATGTGGCAGCATCCCCGTTTCAGGCCGAGTGTGCTGCTCTCTTCCTAACGTGCGGACTCTGGCTACTGCTGACATGGGCATAGTTTTCTTTATGGAAAGTTAAGTATTTATAGCGGCTTTAGAAATCAGAGTAAGGGCAGTGCTCTGTGTCCGTCTTTTTGCCTCCCCCTTTTTAAAAAATAATATATTGATTTTTTACAGAGAGGATGAGAGAGAATCATCGACCAGCTGCCTCCTGCACACCCCCCACTGGGGATGTGCCCGCAACCAGGGTACATGCCCTTGACCGGGATCGAACCCGGGACCCTTCAGTCCACAGGCTGACGCTCCATCCACTGAGCCACACCGGTTTCGGCCTTTTTGCCCCTTTTAGTGCCTTGTTCGTCCCGGGCGTTTGGGAAGTAGATGCTGGGGTTCTGACTGACGGGAGGCAGGGAGTCTGCGGCAGAGGAGGACTCTGCGTTTGAAATGCTCTCAGAGGCCTGAACATAAAGAGGACAGGGAATGTTTTTGTAAATTGAAGCATCTTTTTCTTCATTTGTCTTTTTGTAAAGTCAAGTTATATATATATATTTTTTATCATAAACCAAAGGAAACCAGTGAGAGTAACCTCTTACTTTTGATGTGTAATGTGGAAGTATAATATCAGTCCAAGTAAGAAACTCTGCTTTTTACTGCTCTATATGGAAATAATTCTGGTGTGCCTTGTGGTGCATAGTAGGTAATATAAATTCTTACTATGTGGTAATAGGTCATATACACCAGGACAGTAATGTAGGTTCAGCAGCAACCAAAAGGTGGCTGTAAACTCACTCACATTTTCTTGAGCATCTACTTTAAAAAGTGCCAGCTTGCCCTCAGAATTGTTAATCGTGGAGAGAAGCACAAAGCTACAAGTATAGTGGCATGTTTCATTTTGCTCAGTATTTGATCTGAGCCGTTAACCTGAGTGAAGGAACACTTGTTTTTGCAGAGTCTCGTCCTTACGGCTGGCCTACAAGGACCTTGAGCTTCAGATGAAGAAAGAAGAGAAGATGACCGTGGGCGGGAAGACGAAGGCGGAGTCGGAGCGGCTGGGCATGGGCTTCGGGAACTGCAGGAGGTACGGAGTGAGCCCGCTCTCTGGGCGGAGTGCCCACCGGTGTGCCCACCGGTGTCATCCTGAGGGCTTCCTGTTCCCTCACCGGCAGCAGCATCTCTCCTTCCTCTCTGCGTGCTGGGAGCTGGTGTGGGCGACCGCACGGGAACTCCCAGACCTGGTTCTTAGAAAACGGAAATCGGTCTGGCTTGTCCCTCAGTGTATGCCCCCAGCAGAGCCGGGGCACGTGACTGTTGGTGTAACTGGTTCCAGTCCTCACTACGGTCCAGTGGTTTTCAATGCTTATACCAACAAAATGGTTTTCATTGTTCGTGTCTTTAACCCCACCAATCAATGTATTTTTGTTGAGAGGATAGATGAAGACACTCGTTGGTGAATATGGTATCTTTATGAAGTAACTAGTCTCTTTTTTTCTATTTCATTCTCTGTTTTTTCAAGTGGCATTTCACATTCAGCAACCTCAGATATGCAGACCATTGAACAGGAAACACCAGTCACAGCCAAACCGCGGAAAAAGTACAGCGATGACAGCGATGACTCATACTTTACCTCCAGCTCCAGGTAGTGTGTGAGAAATCGTCCTTACAGTGTTGTTTTGAAAAACAGTGATTAGAATGAATTTACTCATTTACTTCCCTGCTTCTTGTTTTGTTTTGCTTTTAATATTTTTTTATCGACTTCAGAGAGGAAGGGAGAGGGAGAGAGAGACATCAATGATGAGAGAATCATTGATCGGCTGCCTTCTGCATGGCCCCTACTAGGGATCTAGCTCACAATCCAGGCATGTGCCTTGACCGGGAATCGAACTGGTGACCTCCTGGTTCCTGGGTTGATGCTCAATCACCGAGCCACACCCGGCTGGGCTTCTTCTCTGTTTTAAACACTTTGGCTGGAGTCAAGGGGTCCTTTGAAAAAAGTTGGGGAAATATTTGTAAGAAGGCAATTTGCTGATATTAAGATGTTTGGCCTGGCCCGTATGGCTCAGCCTCAGCCTATGAACCAGGAGGTCACGGTTTGATTCCCGGTCAGGGCACAGGCCTGGGTTGTGCCCAGACCTCCACGCTCCTCAGTAGGGGTCGTGAAGGAGGCAGCCTGTCAATTATTCTCTCTCATCATTGATGTTTCTATCTCTCTCTCCCTCTCCCCTCTTCTCTGAAATCAATAAAAATATATTTACTAAAAAAGATGTTTGATAATAAGGAAGGAAATTGGAAGTGGAGAACGTGCAGACTCCTGAAGGAGCATATTAAGTTACAGCCTTATTCCCAGAGCTGGAACGTTTCATTCTGAGCCTCTTGTTTCAGAAGCCCAGCTCAGGGGTCTCCAGTCGACAGGGCATAAAACAGTGCTCTGCGTGTTTATTAATAATTACTGCTGCACTCTGAAGGCTCCCAGGTCAAGCTGCTCCCTGCCCCTGAGCGCGGCCATCTGGTGTGAAGCTGACCCTGGAGAGGGCCCTGGCTCAGGTTCCAGCGGCCTGCAGGGCAGGGGCAGGGCAGGGCAGGGGCAGGGGCAGGGGGAGGCACAGGAGCGGGGAGCAAGTCTGAACTTGAATCATCTCACTTGTGAGGTTCCGCTCAGAGCGACCGGCGGCTTCCTCTTTGCCTGCGAGTCACCTGGTTACCACATCAGGGCTGTCTGACTCAGAGGGAACACCCTGTCCTGCCGCTTGAGAGAATTTAAATCCTTTCCTACAAGGTAGGGCAGTGGTTGGCAGACTGCGGCTCGAGAGCCACATGTAGCTCTTTGGCCCCTTAAGCGTGGCTCTTCCACAAAACACCACGTGCGGGCGCGACGTACAGTGCGAGTGAAACTTCTGGCCCGTGCGCAGAAGCCGGTTTTCGGCTCTCAAAGAAATGCCAGTCGTTGGGCCGTTGATGTTTGGCTCTGCTGACTAATGAGTTTGCGGACCCCTGAGGTAAGGGAGATGTTTAACCTGCTGTGGAAGCCGCAGGCAGTCAGGTCACGTCAGCTGGTGTGACTGAGGGACGGCGGGCGGCTCCCCGGCCTGGGGATGCGGCTCTGCACATTGCCTCTGCTCCCCGCACCTTTGGTGACTTCCCTGCTCGCTCGCCACTCCCACAGAGGAGAGCACAGGGACGCGGGGAGTCTGTTTCAGGTTCCGTGGGCGCTGCTGCCCGGTAGCCGGTAGCCGTGGGAAGGATGGGCCCTAGAGACCCGGGGAGCATGGCCCTCCCGGCCCTGCCCAGCTCCACCGCCCGTACTTGCCCAAGCTTGGCCGGAGGGCCAGCCTGCAGCCCGGTTGCGAGGACACATTGTTTCTGGTTGGAACGGAGCAGATGGTGTTTTCACAGGGACCACACTGGCTGGCTTCCCACCAGGCAGACCTCGGTGCGTGTGCACCGTGAGGAGCTGCCGCCCTCTCTCGCCCTCTGGGCGGGACGGCTTCGGAAAGCCAGAGATTAGTTCCATGAAGAGCTCTCGTTGCTTCCAAATTATTCATTAGCCCATTAGAACTTGGATATTATGAATTATGAAAGAGTGCTGTTTCTATTAAAAATAAGGTCAGCCATCTCTTTGTTTTTATTGAGTTCCATTATTTCCAGGACATGGACAATGTAATTATATATCGAGCACAAAGGGAGGAGACAGAACAGTGTGCTCAACCTCACAATGTCAGCATGGCCTGCAGGGGGGCGCAGTGTCTGCAGCCGTAACCCAGACAGGATGTTCGGATCGCTCAGCGAGGGCTAAGGGAGGTTTCTAGGCTGAGAAGGACCGAGGGGGAGGGCAAAATTAAAGTAAAAGCATTGAGCCCCGCTGGCATGGCTCAGTGGTTGAGCGTCGACCTATGAACCAGAAGGTCACAGTTCAAGTCCCAGTCAGGGCACAGGCCCAGATTGTAGGCTCGATCCCCAGGGGGGAGCGTGCAGGAGGCAGCCCATCAATGATTCTCTCTCATCATGGATGTTTCTCTCACTCCCTCACCCTTCCTCTCTGAAATCAATAAAAATACTTAAAAAAAAAAAAAAAAAAAAAAAGTAGGAAGCATTGAACGCTAGGATCTAGAAACCAAAAAGGAAGGTCGCTAACGATGTGGTGGTGAGATTTGGAGGAATGGCCATGGACAGTCCTGTCGCCCATCCTCCCAGCGGCAGCTGGGGCCTGGCCAGACTCTGCCTGTCCCGCAGTGAGCTACTGCGCACCTGTAGCAGAGAGTCCCCCCAGCCCAGCTCTTGCTAGTCAGAAAGATCCCAGCAGAGTGGCTTCTCTCTCCTGTTTTTGAACAGTTCAGTCATTTTCTTAAAATCTGATGCCCAAAGTACAGCACTTTGGTTTATATAAATGAGTATTTCCTTACAGTAATATCAAATCTGCAAAATCTACGTTCACAGCCTCACAGTTGTGGAGAGCCTGGAAATTCCAGCCACCCCGGGGCCAGTGCCCCGGCCACCCAGCACCCTCTGAGGGCCGTGCAGCACCCTCCTCAGTCCATTCAGACTCCCATCTCCCTGGGCTTCCCAGCTCAAGTCAGCCAGCCCCACCCTCACCTCAGCTCATGGGACCTGACATTCCTCAGTTGACAGGCCAGTTCTTTCCCGGGCCTTACAGACCAGGGCCTGGGACCCAGGACTCTCCCGCCTTCCAGACCTTTTCTCCGATGTGACGTCAGGTCACTCCGTCGCCTGGTCTCCCTCTGCGGGGATGGGGGCCGTTCCTCCCAGCAGCCTGTGCTCGGGGCTTCTGGGCTCCCGCTGTCAGCTTCCCTGCCCGAGAGCGGCGAGCGGGATGCCCTCTGCTCCTAATGACCCCCTGCAGGAGGCCGACCACTCCCGGGAGTCCTGCTTCCTCCCGGCCCAGACAGCAGGCTTGTCCCTCCCCTCCTTTCTGGTTTGTTCTTAGCTCTCCCCCCGCCCAAGTCCTGGCTCACTGGTCCCTGCCTGCTGTTTTCTATTCATCTCTGATTGCAGGCCCCTCTCACAGCTCAGGCTGTCTGTGTGTCTGTCTGTCTGAGTGGCTGCCTGGGGCTGGTTCCAGCACCTGCCTGCGGCCGCAGCACCCAGAGCACCTCTGGCAGCAGGGAGGAGGGCTGGGCGAGCTGAGCAAAGTCCTGGAAATGACTCTGCTCCTGCTCACGGTCAGGCCAGGGGGCCGCCCGCCGCCCGCAGGAGCCCGGAGGCCAGTCCCCGGTCCCCGACGTCACTGAGGCAGCCTCCACGCACTGCCCTCTCTCAGCAGGTACTTCGACGAGCCGATGGAGCTACGGAGCAGCTCCTTCTCCAGCTGGGACGACAGCTCCGACTTCTACTGGAAAAAGAAGAGCATCAAAGAGACCGGCACGGTTCCGAAGGCCACAGGCTATTCCGACAGGTATGAGGACAAAGCGGTGGGACTGGCCGGAGTGTAAGGGAAGTCTCTGTTTTTGTTCTATTTCTAGAATATTCTTGGCATCCGGTGTTCTGGCCTCACCTTCCCCAGAAGGTGGTTTGAGCGGGATTGTGCGGTAACCGCCTGTGTAGACGGGTTTACTTCCGTGTTCTTAGGTTCCTTCCTCTGCATGGCTGAGCTGTTACCCACGCACCTGCCGAAGCCGTCCCCAGCGTGGGGACTGTGAGGGAAGGGCTGCTCTGTTTATTGTCCGAACCAGGGGACGCTGGCAGTGCAAGGTGACACAGCCAGACGCTGGCCAGCAGGCATGCCCAGGCTGTCCGGTAACGAGGTGGCTCAGCCTGCTCACCTGTGTCCGCATGGCGTGGAGCGGCGCCCTGTGCGCTGTGGGGTCTGTGTTTACTGAGGAATCTGCAGGACTGTGGGGGGGACAGCCTGTTTGAATGGAAAATTCCTTCCAGTAGTGTGTGGTTTGTACTGATTTTTTTTTACTAGAATTTTCAGACTTTTTAAAAGTTGCCTGAAATCCTTTTACAAAATTATTGCTGTTGGTTTTAAAAACAAAATGGCATGTGTATACATTATAAATAAGAAACACATTTGCCTCACCTCAAATTAGTTTAACCTACTTTGCTGGGGTTGTTGTTGTTGTTGTTTTGTGCTGAGAACACAGGCTGTACCCTAGCAAATGTCAGGTATACACTGCGGCATTGCTAACTCTAGCTCCCATATTCGGTCCCAGAACTCACTCATCCGCTCGTTTCCCAACCCCTCTCCCCCCATTCCACTGTTCCTCCGAGTTTTACCTTCTTAAAGAAGTTTTGATTCCTTTTGTAAATGAGATCACACAGTATTCGTCTGGTTTATTTTACTTAACATAACGCCCTCCAGACTCACCCATGTTGTCACAATGGCACGGTGTCCTTGTTTATGGCGGAATCCTGTCCCAGTCTGTACACACCACATCGTCCTGCCCTCCCACCCTCAACAGAGGCTGGGTGGTCTCCACGTCTTGGCTTTTGTGAGAGCTTCAGTGAACATGGCATTGCAGCTCACTCTTCAGGATGTTGGCTTTGTCTCCTTTAAATACACACCAGGAGCGAGATGACTCGATCATGTGATGTTTCTGTTATTTTTGAGGAACTGTCACACTGTTTCCCACGGTAGCTGCATTAATGTGCCTTCCCACCAACAGTGTGCAGGGGTTCCCTTTCCCATCCTCACCAGTTCTTATCTCTTGTCTTCTTTTTGTTGTTTTCTTGTTAATCCTCACTGGAGGATATTTTTCCACTGATTTTTAGAGAGGGTGGAAGGGAGTAGAAGAAAAGAGAGGAGGGAGGGAGGGAGGGAGGGAGGGAGGGAGGGAGGGAGGGAGGGAAGGACGGACATCCATGTGAGAGACACGTTGCCTGGTTGCCTCCCACATGCAGCCCGATAGAGCTGGGATTGAACCTGCAACCCAGGGAGTGGAGCCTTTGGCCCTCCAGTGAAAGACCAGTTCTCTGGCTGCTGGGCCCCTGGCCAGGCTCACCGCTTGTCTCTTTGGCGCTGAAGCCTCATTGGGTTTGGCTTGCACTCCCAGACGATTAGGACCTTCTCCTGTGCCTGCGTGTTGGCTGTGAGCTTTCCTCAGACTGCGCTTGCTTAGTGTTGGTATGTTGTGTTTCCATTTTCATTTGTTTCAAGACATTTTTTATTTCTCCCCTGACCCTGTGGTTGCTCAGGAATGTGTTAGTTTCCACATATTAGTGAATTTTCCACTTTTCCCGCGTTGTTGACTTCTGCTTTCATAACCATTGCGGTTGGAAAAAAAACTTAATGTGATTTCAGTCTTACATTTGTGAGGCCTCGCATGTGATTTAACTCGCTCTGTGACCTAACGGGACGCACCGAGGATGTTCTGTGTGCTCTCAGGACGCTGCTCTGCGCCGCCTGATGGAATGCCCTGAGTGTGTCCGCTGGTCTGTTTGGCTAACGTACAGTTCAAGTGCAGCTTCCCTTCCTGGCTTTCTGTCTGGGTGAGGTGTCCATGCTGAGAGGGGGGCGATGAAGTCTGTCGTGTTGCCACACCATCTGTTCTGTGAGCTCCGTTGGGTGCACATGTATTTACAGTTGTTATTACTCTTGACCTGATTCCTTACCATTATGGGACCTTTGTCTCTTGTTGCAGGTTTTGGCTTAACGTTTATTTTTCCTGATAGAAATATGGCTGTCCCTACTCGCTTTTGTCTCTTAACTTTTAACCTATGTGTATCCTTAAGACTGAAGGCAGCCTGTAGCTGTGTCTTATTGTTTTTTATTTGTTTGTTTTTTCTTTAAATGTTTTAATTGATTTTTTAGAGAGAGAGGAACATTGATGTGAGAGAGAAACATCGATCGGCTGCCTCCTGCGCACGCCCTACTGGGGATCAAGCCTGGAACTTGAGCATGTGCCCTGCAGAGAATTGAATGGGCTGCCTGTTGGTGCATGGGATGATGGCTCAACCAACTGAGCCTCATCGGCCAGGTCTCTGTCAGCAGTTGTTTGTTTGTTGTTTTCAGCACATACTTCCTCTTTATTTAATAGACTAGAGCTGTAGTCAGCAAACTGTGGCTCATGAGCCACATGTGGCTCTTTGGCCCCTTGAGTGTGGCTCTTCCACAAAATACCACAGCTTGAGTGAGTCTATTTTGAAGAAGTGGCATTAGAAGAAGTTTAAGTTTTAAAAATTTGGCTCTCAAAAGAAATTTCAATCATTGTACTGTTGATATTTGGTTCTGTTGACTAATGAGTTTGCCAACAACTGGACTAGAGGCCATTGCATGAAATTTGTGCACGGGTGGGTGGAGGTGTCCCTCAGCCCATTCTGCATCGTCTTAAATCTGGGACCCTTCTCACAATCCATGACTGCTAGCTCCCAACCGCTCGCCCGCCCACCTGCCTGCCTGCCTGCCTGCCTGATTGCCCCTAACTGCTTCTGCCTGCCAACCTGATTACTCCTAACCATTTCCCTGCCTGCCTGATTGCCCCTAATTGCCCTCCTCTTCTGGCCTGGTTTCCTCCCAACTGCCCTCCCCTGCAGGCCTGGTCCCCCACAACTGCCTTCCCCTGCTGGCCTGGTCCCCCCCAACTGCACTCCCTTGCAGGCCTGGTCCCCCCCAACTGCACTCCCTTGCAGGCCTGGTCCCCCCCAACTGCCCTCCCTTGCAGGCCTGGTCACCCCCAACTGCTCTCTCTTGCAGGCCTGGTCTCTCCCAACTACTCTCCCCTGCCAGCCATGTTGTGGCGGTCAACTTGTGTCCACATGGGGGCAGCCCATCTTTGACCAAATGGGGGCAGCCATCTTGTGTGTTAGAGTGATGGTCAATTTGCATGTTACCCTTTTATTAGGAGGATTAATGAGCTTGCATAAAAATGTGCTTATCTTCATTAGTAATCATGGGAATGCAAATTAAAACAATCAAAAATAGTCAAAATTATTAAGACATTTAGCAACACCAACTACTAGTCTATAATAATAAAAGCATAATATGCTAATTATACTGGGCCAAACAGCAGAATGACCATTCAGACAACCTTCCAGACTAAGCTGCGGCTGCGAGCGCCAAGGCAGCCGCCTTGGCTGCGAGGGCCAAGTCCCTTGCACAAATTTTGTGTATCGGCCCTCTAGTCCTATATAATAAAAGGCTAATATGCAAATCGACCAATTGGCGGAATGACCGGTCACTATGATGCACACTGACCACCAGGGGCAGACACTCAATGCAGGAGCTGCCCCTGGTGATCAGTGCACTCCCACAGAAGCCGGGCTCGTGGCTGGCAGGGTGACTGATGGTCCGGACATCCCCTGAGACCCTGGTTGCGAGAGGGTGCAGGCCAGGCTGGGGGACAACCCCCCCACACACCCAGTGCATGAATTCCGTGCACTGGGCTTCTAGTAAGATATAAAAGAGCATTTCTGCGCCTGCTCACTGGCTGTCTGCAAAGGGGTGCGCCCACCATCTGCACGTACTGGGTGCCAGCTGTGGGCGGGGAGGGAAGAGCATTGGACAGACGGCACCTGTGGGCCAGTTGACAGCTCCGCAGATACCGTGCCCAGCAGGCTGTGGGCCGGGCTCCCCATGGAGTCTGCCAGGTGTTTATAGGACCCGGTGCTGCCCGCCTCTCCCAGCCCGTGGCCGTGCCCGTGCCCCACAGCGAGAGACAGGCACACTCACTGCCCTCTCACCTCCCCCACGGGAGAAGTTGTGGGTCCCCGTGGCACTGAGCTGTGTCATCTTGGGAGAGGGACAGCGTGGGCCAAGGGAAACTGCGCCTCCACCTTCTTCAGTGCCCCTCTTGGTTCTGGCCCCACTGGGCTGGCACCTCTGCTGGACTCGACCCACCACGGGGCTGGGACGGGCCCGGAGGAGCAGGACAGGGAAAGCTCCGATTCTGCCTCCTGCTGACGCCACCCGATTCCACTCTTTCTAACCGCAGGCCGCCTGCTCGCCGCAAGCCGGACTGCGAGCCCGCCGGGAGCACGGACGAGGCCCAGAAGAAGTTCGGCAACGTCAAAGCCATTTCCTCCGACATGTACTTTGGGAGACAAGACCACGCCGACGTGAGTGTCTGCGGGTTCTGCGGGCCAGAGGGAGGGCCTGGGCGTGGGGGGAGCGGGGGATGGCGCTGAGGGGGGTGGGCTCAGGCTGCAGAGGGCCGGCTGGAGCTGGAGCAGGACAGGCCCCGGTTTCTGGCTGCTCACCACTGTCCCCTGGGGGCGACCTGAAGGCAGGACTGTGTCTCTGTTTCCTCACTCCTTTCTCAGTGTCTGAATAGCCATCCATTCCATTTTCTTTTGATCCTCGCCTAAGGATATTGTTTGCATTGATTTTTAGAGAGTGAAAGGGAGGGAAGGAGAAGGGGAGAGAGAGAGAGAAACTTCGATGTGAGAGATGTTTGCCTCCCTTATGCACCCTGACCAAGGCTGGGCATCAAACCTGCAACCGAGGTACATGCCCTTGACTGGGAATTGAACCCACAACCCTGAGGGCCGACATGCTAACCACTGGGCAAACCAGCCAGAGCCATTCAATCGCTTTTGAATAAACTTGAGGCAGTTTTGACAGACCTGTAACTTAATGATCTCCAACCAGAGTTAAATGGAGTGTAGGTGTGGGTTTGGAGGGTGGGTGTATTTATTTCCGGGCTGTTGCCTGTCTTAGCGGAATCTCGGAATCTCGCTAAGCAGTGAAACGCAAATGGACTCGCAGAGGTTCCGGCCTCCTCCTTGGGAAGCCTGTGTGCCTGCGCGGAGCCCTGGGGGCGGGATTGCAGGCTCCTCAGCTGTCAGGGAACTCTCCCTAAAGGCCCGTTTATGTTGTAGCAGCAGCGCAATCCGCATTGTAAGAACATTTCACGTGCCTCTAGGCTTTTCCCAGCCCCGAACCCCTTGCTCTGAAGCCCACGGCTCAGGCTCAGCCCGCACAGCACAGGGTGTGGGAGAGGGGGGCGGGGCAGCCCCACACAGGATCATCTCCCCCTCTGTCCTCGCACTGGGTGGCCTTGGCGTCCTCTGTCCTCTGTGTGGGGGATCCCGCGGGCCCCCCAAGAGTACATATCCGCTGGGGGGGGAGCCTGGGACGGGCAGTGACAGCCCTGGGTTCTCACTGTGAGGCTGATGCCTGCTGGAACTGACGTTCCTCTCCCCGGTCTTGTCCAGTTTGAAACGCGGGCACGGCTGGAGCGGCTCTCGGGAAGCTCCTCCATCAGCTCAGCCGACCTGTTTGACGAGCAGCGGAAGCAGGCGGCAGGTGAGTGCGGCCGGGGCCAGGGCCTCTGTGCTGGGCTCCTGCTCAGACCCACCCACTCCCCCACCTGGCGTGAGCTGCGAGTGGGAGGGGGCCTCAGCCCCCGAGCCCCAGAGCAAGCAGAAGCTCCTCGGCTCACATGCTAACCAGGGCCGGCTCTGTGGCTCCGGCTGCGCCAGGTGCCCACCCCTTGGATGGATGGATGGATGGATGGATGGATGGATGGATGGATGGATGGATGGATGAATGGATGGATGGATGGATGGGGTCAAGGGGAGAGGCCGCCCGAGGGAGGGCGGAGGGCTCCCCCAAAGGTGGGGGTGCTGGCCCACAAATGCCCACCGGTTTTTACTGGGCGCTGGCCTGTCAGGCGCGTGAGGCTCCGGAGGAAAGAGGGCCCGGACGGGGAGGGCTCTGCAGAGATACCAGCCGGGCAGTGGCCGTGCCGCTGGAACCAGGACAGTTCAGACCAGGCCACACGGCCTCCTGTGTGGGTGGTGCAGCTGGTCATAGACACAGGATGGGGGGGGCCTGGTGCTGGGACCCGAGCCCTGGCCCATGCAGCGCCCTGGCCCTGCCCACGCCTGCTCCTGGGAAGCGGGAGGGTGGGACCGCCGTGTCATCGGGGCATCACTGGGCGGGGTGACCAGCGCCAGCTCTGTGTGCAGGAAACTACAACCTCTCGAGTGTGCTGCCCACCGCCCCCGACATGGCGCAGCTGAAGGAGGGTGTGCGCTCCGTCGCCGGGAAGCTGTCCGTCTTCGCCAACGGAGTCATGACCTCCATCCAGGTCAGGGGCTGCGGGAGGGCCTGGGGAGGGTGGGCTCTCGTTGTGAAAGTGAGACTGGGACCAGTCTCCGGTTGCTAGGAAATTACTCAGTGACTTAGATGTTTGCTGCTGTAGCCCAGGACCACTACTTCCTTGTTTACATTTTCTAACTTATGACCCGAGGGGAATTGTTACAGGAATTGTCCTGGTCCTTGTCCACTCCTTTCCTACATTGGAACAGAAATACTAAGAAGACAGTAAAAATGACATTCTTTTATCTTCAAAAATGTATTCGATGCATATCTTTTCCAAATTAAAAAAGATTACATTGTGTATATATAATCCTGTTTTTAGATGACATTTTGTTATGAGCATTTCCATGTAAGTAAAAATTCTTCAAAACCCACATTCTTTCCAGTGGAAATACATGTCATTTATGTAACAGTTCTTCAGGTTGGCTTTTGAGAGAGTATTCTAACCTTCCGTGAGGCCAGGGTGGGGAGAGTAGGCTCACAGTTTATTCTTATCTTATTATTTATTAACTGGAGCCCGGTGTACGAATTCATGCACAGGGGGGTCCTTTGGCCTGGCTGGCGATTGGGCGGATCAGCACCACAGGAGGTTGGCCAGTGGGGGGAAGGGTCAGCGAGAGGTTGATTCTGAGAACCCACTGACCACCAGGCGGGCAGCTCCTGCGATGAGCATCTGCCTCCTGGTCGTTAGTGTGCATCGTAGTGACTGGTCCACTGGTTGTTCATTTGGTCACTTAGGCTTTTATATATGTAGACTAGAAGCCCGATGCACAAAGATTGGTGCAGAATGGGCCTTCCTTTCCCTGGCTGCCAGCAATGCCTTTCCGCTCCAGCCCTGCCTACCCACACTGCCCAGAGGCCCTGGGTGGCTGGGGTGTTGCCATGGCAACAATGCAGGCATCCAGCCCTGTCCCTGGCTGCTGGGTGCCTGTGTATGCAAATTAACCTGCTGTCTTTGTTGGGTTAATTTGCATACCCACTCCTGATTGGCTGGTGGGCATCACAAAGGTACAATTTGCAACTTTCTCTTTTATTAGTGTAGATTATTGTATTTTCATACACACACCTGTATACCTCCTTTTGCCCACCCTGTATAACAACCGAAGGCCACTTCTGATTGGGCGAAAGGCTTATCTCTGAACCTTCTGTTCATGTCAGGGTTATTGCAGGGGATTCTGTCATGAATGTATGACATGGCCCCTGGGAGTAGGGCCTAGTGGGGGCCCTGGTGCCTGCAGGGTCCCCAGGTGGGTGCAGGCCCCCCCCTAGAGAATTCCTGAGGCCCTGCTGGGAGTGTCAGAGCTGCTCAGGTCCCTGGGGGGCTGAGCCTGTTGGTCCTGACAGGTGAGCATCCCATCCTTAGCCACGCCCACCCCAGAGGTGAGCAGTGGAGGCAGAGAGCTGGAGTGCGCCCCCCAGCGAACCAGGGTCAGGCTCAGACTCCACCCGGGCTCCTCTCACCTCTGTCCCCGGCCTGCAGGCCGCCCTCCACACGCTCGCTCCCCAGGCAGAGGCCGGCGGGATGAGGAAGTGCGTTGAGTGTTTGTAACTCATACGGGCTCTCTCTCTAGGATCGCTATGGTTCCTAATGCTGACGTCATTGCTTCCTGGAGAAGTTCCTCCTTAAGGACCGGCGCTCCACAGACTGCAGCGCAGACAGCCCATCTGCAGGTGGCCCTCTTCCCTGTCCCGCCGTCCTAGACACGCTGACTCCACGTTTCCTTTGTGTAGCAGCCTTACTGTCATTTCTGTTTGTGTTCCCTCCTGCACATGCCCTCTCCGCCAGGCCTCCATCTCCCCGCTTTATTTTCTTGGAATCTTTAGTTCTGACAGCTGGGGGCCTGGAGACACGGCCCCTCCCACCCACTCCCCGAGAACAGAGAGCTTTGTGTGAGGCTCAGCGTGTGCCACCATGGGCTAGGGCTCAGAATCAGCTGGCGCCAGCTGGGCCTGGAGAAACGGAGCCCACAACAGACATCTCAGTAGAAATGGAGCAAAAATAAAAACAAAAGACCAAAATGGTGTCTCATTGACGGATTGCTTCGTTATATTTGCACATAGTCAGGTGACTTCAAAATAATGTTTAAAGCCACCTGTCCCTTTGTAAATTGTTTATTTTTATGATCTATAAATTCAAAGATAATTTCAGTGAGTGCTTTTAACAAACAAGTTTCTGTGCTGCCGAGGGAACTAATCTTTTGACTAGGTGTGGCTGTTTGAATCTCTGAGAAATATAAGAACTCCCTAAGTGCATTTATAAATCGATAGAGTGTACAGAATTAAAAATAAATAAGAAGATACACTCATGGAAAACATTTCAGAATGTGGGAAAATAGTAGTTGTAATTGGGTAGTTTTGTTAATATTTTTTATCTTAGTATTTGTTTTTTAAAAATTACAGAATGTGTATAAAGAAAAATAAGTTGGCTGTGTTTTAGACAGCATTAGAACATATTGTTCCTAACAGTAAAATGTATTTGAAATTTGATGAACCGGAAGTATGGTTTCAGCTGAATATTTTGTGAATCTTTCTTAAAGCTCTGATGACTAGACTTTGAATAAACAGTTGCAACAGGCGTGTTGGGACTTTTTTTTTTTTTTACCAAAGTTTATGAGACGAGGGCTCACGGGTCGGACATTGATGTACATTTGGATGATGATAAAACTACCGATGGATTTGGTGTCTTGTTTTGTTAATCTGAGGATATTTTTCCTTTTTTTTTTTTTTTTTTTTTTTTTTTTTTTTTTAAGGGAGGGAGGAAGAGTCATCGATGAGAGAGATACACCCATTGGTTGTCTCCCACACACGTCCCAGCCAGGGCTGGGGCGGAACTTGCAGCCCAGGCGTGTGCCCAGGGCCAGGCTCCTGGCTCTGTTTCCCGTGTCCGTCAGGGCCTGAGGTCACTAATGGAGCGCGCAGTAGGGGGCGGTGTCCCTGCTGAAAGGAGGTGAGCAGAGTGGCATCTTTCAAGCCCCAGGCGCTGTCATAACAAGACCCACAGGCGGGGCTTCAACAGCAGAATGAACAGTGTCCCCCGTCCCGGAGGCCAAGGTCAAGGTGCCATCGGGAGGGGAGGCCCGTCTCCAAACAGCCCGGGAAGTGAGGCCTCCACCGGGAATCGAGGGCGCTCAGCCCTGCGGTGCCGTGAGGAGTCCCCCGCGGGGTGTCCTGCCCCGGCGGAGTCTCCGCACACGGCTCTTTCCCCATTCTTCAGGGGGACGGCGGGTCAGACTGCCCAGTCCCTGCAGCGCCGCCTGTACCAGACATGACCCCTGCACTGAGCCACTTCCTCTCTCCACCCACTGCCCTTCCAGGCACCTGGCGGCTGTGCCCGGTCACTACACACCGTGGGCACGGTGCTGCCTCCCTCAGGGACCAGCTCAGCACCCAGGGCTCTGCCTGAGTTAGATCCTCACTCCGGGCTGGGGCCTCACTACTGGGGTCAGGGGCCCCGGAGCCCCCACTTACTCCTGGAGCACCCCTCTACCCTCACCCCCTGCCCAGCTGCTCAGCCCAGTTGCTGTGCGCCCACCCTCCCCCGTTCCCGCCCATGGGAACAGCCTGAGGGTCTGTGGCTTCACTGAGTATCCCCACCCCTCACCTGACCTGGGCCCAGCGTCTCCCTCCTCCATCCAGCCCGGCCCCAGCTGCCCGAGCAGCCCTGGGACAACACCCTGCTCCTTCCTCCTCCTCCTGCTCCAGAGGCTGGGCGCTCGGCAAGGCCCCCAAACCCAGGGCCCCTCCTACCTGCCCCTCCCAGCCAGCAGTCCCCCGAGACACCCCTGCCCGTCAGGAGCCCTCGGATGAGGGTTAGGAGCTGTTTCTGGGGGTGAATAGGATGAGGGTGCAGACACTTCCCGTGGAGAGGAGAGCAGTGCCGCCACCTCACGCAGGGCCGGGAAGTAACAGGAAACAGCTGGGCTCACCTGCCGGCTGCAGCACACAGTAGGTGTACAGCCGTGGGCCCTTCGGCGAGGTGAGGCGATGAGGAACAGGTTCAGAGATACCAAGATATTAAGGGCTTGTTCCCCACCACGGGGCCCTGCCCAGACCTCCCTAACCAGCCCGGCCAGGACCACCTCCCCCCACCCCTGAGCTGCGGCCGGTGTCCGGGCCAAGGCCCAGCGCGCTCTCCGCAGTCCTCACTCTCAGCCCTGGGTGATGGGCGTGGGGTTTGATGCAGCCAAACCTGAGATGGGGCAGCACAGGCCGAGGCCTCGGGGCTCCCACCTCGTCCGGGTTCACCCTCCCACCTGGCGGACCGGGAGGGATCCGAGGACCCGCTCCACCTGTTTCACAAAACTGCAGCCCAGAAAAGCACGGCCCAGGTCCCCAGGCCCACCCCGGAGGACGGTTTCCGAGAACCTGCTGGTCAGGCTGTGGGGCTGCGTGCAGGAAATACGGGAGAGAAACCGGCATCATCCCGTAAGTGACCGGCAGAGGGGCCGGGCCAGGAAACCAGAGTGGTGAGTAATAGAGCTGCCTGCGGCGGGTGTGTGTGTGTGTGTGTGTGTGTGTGTGTGTGTGTGTTAAGGGGGGACGGCGCTGCATGAGGTGGCCTCGGGGGAGGGGGTGCCGAGAGCGGCTACAGCGTTCGGACAGGTCCAGCCTCGGACCGATGAGAGGGCGCCTCTCATGGCCACGTGCACGTCCCAGCCTGGAGGGCAGAGCCTCCCGGCACCATGACAGCCAGCAGCTGTGGTTGTCAGCGTGACCCTGTGGTCCGAGCACGTGGCCCCGTGCCTGAGTGGTAGAGTTCAGGTGCATGTAGTTGAGGAGGATTGAATGTTGTGACCATCTTGACCACATCCTCACTTTGCCTCGTGGCATCGGCTGTAAAATAAAGGCTCGGCTGGTAGTCCGTGGCGCTGCCGCTGGCTCCCCATCAGAGAGGACAGCGTCCCGCCCAGACCCAGCTTTCTTCTCGTCTGTCTCTTCTCAGTCCTTCACCGCCCCCTCTCAGGCTCACCGAACCTGGCTGGGCTGGCGGGCACATAAGGTGCCCAACATAGAGCCGAGTGTGCCCGCCGGCTCGCCATGAGGGGGATGCGGAGGGAGATCAGGGTGGGCAGGGAGACTTGCAAGGCGACAGATGGCTAAGGAGGGTGCTGACAGGAGTTTCTGCGGGGGGTGGGGTGGGGAGGGTGATGCGATTCTCCCTCCACCTTCCCACGAAAAGTCCCTGCGAGCTCCGAGCCACGGGTCGATCCTTCGAGAGCAGAGCGTGAGAGTGGCGAACACGTGCCCACATTTATGTATCAAGCCTTCACCAGATTTGCAGGGCATGGGCCATTGTTGATTCATTTCATCCTCACAGCCGCTCTGTGTGGTTGCACCTTATCAGCCTTTACAAATGGGGAAACCGAGGCACGGGAAGAGGCTCACGGCCAGGCCATTAGAGAGCCTCAGAGGGACCCGCAGTGACTCTCCCCGCCTCCTGCAGGTGGCTCAGCAGGGCTGAGCAACACCCACCTGCCGTGGGTTCAGTCAAGCCCCTGGGCACTGAGCCCCCAGCAAACCCTCCCTGTGACTGTCAAGGAGAGGGAGGTACAGGTGACCCCGGAGGTCCCACACCCTCATCCCCAGGGGACAGTGGGAACTTGCTGGAAGCTAATTGCAGCATGTCACACACGCAATTTCATCGAAAGGTTGATGGAACTTGGGGACTCAGCAAGAGCTGAATCACCTAGGTCAGTGGTCGGCAAACTCAGTCCACAGAGCCAAATATCAACAGGACAACAACTGGAATTTCTTTGGAGAGCCAAATTTTTTTAACTTAAACTTCTTCTAACGCCACTTCTTCAACATAGACTCGCCCAGGCCGTGGGATTTTGTGGAAGAGCCACACTCAAGGGGCCAAAGAGCCGCATGTGGTTCGCGAGCCGCAGTTTGCCGACCCCTGACCTGTGTTATTGCCTGGAAATGGCTGAGGGCCTTTCCCCAAACCTGAAAAGGATGCGTAAATGACTGCTTGCTGCCAGACAGCTGAGGGCATTTCAATCTACATGTTACTGCCTCCTGCTGGCCAAACGCCTGAACAGCCGTAGGCAGTGTCCCCCTGGCTCCGCGCTGTGGTCACTTGGTCAAAGATTCAAGAATCTTTCCCCTCATGTGGCCCAGTGGTTCAGCATCGATCTGTGAACCAGGAGGCCACAATTCAATTCCTGGTCAGGGCAAGTGCCCAGGCTGTGGGCTCCATCCCCAGGGTGGGGCGAGCAGGAGGCAGCTAATCAGTGATTCTCTCTCATCATTGATGTTTCTGTCTCTCTCTCCCTCTCCTTTCCTGTCTGAAATCAATTAAAATCCATTTTTAAAAAGGAAAGGAAAGTAACAAGGATATTTCTAAGGAAAATAAGCAGCCGAAACCGGTTTGGCTCAGTGGATAGAGCGTTGGCCTGAGGACTGGAAGGTCCCAGGTTCGATTCCAGTCAAGGGTATGTGCCTTGGTTGCGGGCACATCCCCAATAGGGAGTGTGCAAGAGGCAGCTGATTGATGTCAATCAATAAAATATATAAAATAAAAATAAAAAAAGAAGCAGCAGCTTTCCCACCAGGCCCTGGGCTGCGTGTAAGGCAGAGCAATGCCGTG